TGGAACACCACTCGATTGAGGAGGAAGTATCCAACAGTAGTTGCAAAGGCACTAGCCAAAGCACTAACTTGCACTCAACAAGTCAAATAGTCAAAAGCAGTAATAATAATTCATTGCTAGCAGTCGATTGTGGAAAAGGTCCTATAAAATCAAACACCACCAACTCAAACGGACGAGAAATTGCAATTGACTCCAACCGTCTTTCCATGGCATGAGGGGGAGTATTACAAGCTTGGCACCAAATGCAACTATGCATATACTGAATAATATCACATCGCATCTTTAGCCAATAGAAAGACCTGTGTAGTTTCTTGGTCACACGACGATATCCCATATGCCCACCTAGAATAAGAGAATCATGGTAGGCATGGAGAAACCGTGGAATAAAGATAGAAGCCACCACTAGCCACAAATAATCATCATGATCCATCCTCACAAAATAAAAAAGGCTATCTTCAAGGTGATATTGAGAATGTAAATGCTAGAATGGCAAAATGATGCAGAATTTTCAAACCCATTTTGAAACTTTCAAATCCATGGCTCAATCTTTTAAACCTTGCAAACCTCATCAAGAGAAGGTAGATCTTGCTTTGCACCTTGTGCATACTAAATGTCAAGTATAGCAACCGTCGACAACATAAAATCCTCATCTAGAAAATCTATAAATGCTGGAATAATAAGCTTGTCAGAAATATGAGAAGAGAGTGAAAAAGGAAGAGGAGCCTGAGAAAGGGCATCAGCATCAACCATAAAACTCCCCGGGCAATGAATAACATCAAAATCATATATCTAAAGCTTCAAAGCCCACCAAGTAATATAACCAACCAGGTTCTTTTGCTTCAATAATAAAGTAATGGTAACATGATCACCTTCTAGTAACGTCTGAAAACTATGTAAATATGTATGAAGTTTCTTGAAACCCCTAACTGTTGCTAAACACTTCTTCTCTATCGTAGAGTAGTTCACCTCCGTTGGTTGTAATATATGGCTTATATACATAATGGGATAGCGCTAACTAAGCACACTTAGGCTCTCTTGCATTAACACACCTCCAAGACCAATATCAGAAGCATCCATGTGCAAAATGAAAGGTTAAGTGTAGTCAAGATATGCCAACACCGGAGAAGTCGTTAATAGCTCTTTGAGATCCATGAACGCCTACTCACAATCCTGAGACTAAATGAAAAATGACATTGATGACTTCAGCAATACTCACAATGGTGCAGTGTGATCAGAAAGATGATCCACAAAACGACTGAGATACTGCACCTTGCCAAGGAAGCGCTGCATATCATTCACACACTTCAGAGTAGGGAACTTTAGAATAGCCACAAGTTTGTCAGGATCAACTCTCACAAGAAATATGGTACCCAAGATAAGTCATATCTTTAGACCCAAACACGCATTTCAACCGCTTCAACTTTAAACAAATGTTATGTAGCCGATCCAACACTCTATAAATATCATGGATGTGCTCCTCCCATGTCCCCTCCGAGTGGATCAAAACATTATTAATGAAGTCAGCAATCACCTCTGACATATCACAAAGAACTTCATCCATCATCTATTGGGAAGTTGCTAGAGCATTATTTAAACCATATGGTATCACCAAGAACTCATACAAACCAAATGGTGTATGAAAAACAATCATAAGAATATCTTCTTTAACTATTAGTACTTGCCAGTACCCAAAAGCAAGATTTAACTTGGTGAACCAACAATTTCTCTCTAGATAATCCAAGAGATCAGTAGTGTGAGGAAGAGGGTATACATTTGGGATTGTCATGTCATTTAACAGATGATAGTCGATACAGAAACAAATGCTTCTATTAGGCTTCGTCACAAGATGAGGTTCACATGCCCAAGAACTCCGTAACTTCCAAATAACACCCTTCTCCAACATCTCTTTGATGTTTGCATGTAAAATTTTGATCTTTTTAGGTGACTGATAACGAATAGAAACCCTGATTGGACGAACATCCCCAGTTGGAATAGAATGACATGTGGCAATCTTGGCCCCAAACAGTAAGTCAAATTCAAAGAGATCAAAATACTCCTTCATGAGTCGGTCAACCGTTACAACACAAAGACTGTTGAAGGGATCGAAAAAAAGAAGAGTGGAACAAAACAAAAACATAGGAGGAAGTAATGAGGGGGACAAAAGTAATGGAAGTAGAGGTAGAAGTAGAGGGATGAAGTGGTATGGAAGTGAGAGGAATGGATAAAATATGAGGAAGTATGAGATAAAAGGGAGAAGCCTTAAAGTCACGCTTAGCATGATTGTGCTGCAACCAATTCATACCAAGGATGAGGTCAAAAACTTAATTCAGCACTATCTTCAGTGATTGCAACCCAAACTCGATATTGTCTACATGCACAACTAGGTCTGTCTCATCCCGTGCACATGCATATGTACGGCCGTTGCCATAAAGAATGAAAACTAGCTCTACCGCACGATGCAAGTATAGACGGCAACATGTGGCAACAACTTAAGCAATAGAAGATAAACTCAAATCTATATCAACCAACATAGAGAGAATAATAAAAGATCTCTTGTTATAAAAATGAGCTTAGAAAGTAAACACTGGATGAACTGGTGCCGAGTGAACCCCTTGATGATACTCCCGAAAGAAAGATAAAGGGGTCACTAACTTATTTGCACAAGGTCTCTCCGTTACTTGTGTGATGCATCTTGGTGTCCAAGCTCCATTACAACAACACCAATAAAACATTGTTGATGCCAAGGTTTCCACCTAGGAAATGGTGGTTGCTAATCTAGAAAACACCAACAATACCAATAAGTGTAACTAACTTCATTACATGCCTAACAACAAACATCACGGCCACAACCATGTCCTTGCCCTTGTCCTTGGACTCAAGGAGCAGCAGCATTAACCTCCATTGGAACAGAACCATCACTCACAAGAAGTGGAGCTAAAAGATGTGTAGCGAGAAGTGGAAGAAGTAATGTCTCATAATGTTGTGCCAAGCAAAGAGCATCATTATAGGTGGCTGAAGCAAATGCATGTATAAATTTGACAAGATCTTAACAAAGTGTTGACCACAACATTTCTAGCTTGATCTAACATATTTAGCTCTGCACGAAGCAAGAAGTTTTAGAATTGCATCACTGACTCAGATGGCCCTTGACAAAGACAATGCAATTGTTGGAAGACATCATCACAATCGTCAGCATGTTTGAAAGCACATTTGAAGACGTTCAGGAGAACATTTCAATCCCCACGAGTGGTTGCGCTCAAACCATTATACTACTACAATGCCATCCCTTGGAGACACGTGAGAAACTCATACAAATATTAAGTATCATCCCAAGAATAATATGTGGCAATCACCATGAAGTGATCAAACCAATGATACACATCATCCCCAAGATTCCCGTGAAAGAACTCCAGCCGAACGCGAAGATTGGCACCAAGAGTAGGAAGAGTTTGCCATGAATGCTACCATCAGTTAAGTTTGGTTGTTTAATTGCAATCGCATAACATCAAGCAATTGCACCAACTGCTACTCCAGAGTCAAAGGAGGAGGAGATTATTGATCTGCCATAAAGATGAATGAAAAGAAAAGAGCAAAAAAAGATAAATGAAAAAAAGCTAAAAGGAAAGTGTAGCACATGTGATCATGGGATGAGATTTGGATATACTGTCACCGTGGATCCTTGGAACCTTGGGGGATAAATGGGGATAAAATAGCCACTAAGGGCTCTCTCATCAAGTAATTGCCCCTTTTCCAGTTGGCTTAAGGGGAGAGAGATAAGGTGTTGCTACAGTTGGTATCGGAGTAAATGGCACGGGTTCGATTCCCATTGATTAGTGGCTACTTAAAAGTATAATATACCCTTGAGCAAGGTATATTCCTACCCCTAAATTTGAAATCATACGTATTGGGCATCCATGCGTATGTCCTTCCTTTTGTGACATGGGACTGCAGTACGGGTGGATGACCAGTTGCCTCACATGGAATAATTAGTTTACACAATGGAAGGATTGGTAGATTGAGTGTGGAAATGAATAAAGACATTAACATCTCTAAAGGTGATGGAAGGATTGGTAGATTGAGTGTGGAAATGAATAAGGACATTAACATCTCTAAAGGGGGGGGGTGAGTGTAACACATGTGATCACGGGATGAGATTTGGGTTGTCAATGAAGACATTGGTGAGATTTAGATATACTGTTTGTGTGCTACAAACAGAGAACATACCTTGGCTCGAGATTTAGATATACTATTTGTGTGCTACAAACAGAGAACATACCTTGGCTCAGTAAGGGTTGAACAACACCTTGGCTTAGTAGGGGTTGTCAATGAAGACATTGGTGAGATTTGGATACCTTGGCTCAGTAAGGGTTGAACAACACCTTGGCTTAGTAGGGGTTGTCAATGAAGACATTGGTGAGATTTGGATATATTGTTTGTGTGCTACAAACAGAGAACATAACAATTGAAGGCTAAATTCCTTCTCCAAACCACACATTTTTTACGCCACTGTACTTCAGTGAGACATACTTAATGCTTCACTTTGGGGATAAAATAGCCATTAAAGGCTCTCTTATCAAGCAATTGCCCCTTTTTTAGTTGGCTTAAGAGGAGAGAGATAAAGTGCGCTACAAAAAAGGAGATCTAAACAATGCAAAAGCTAGATCTAAACAAAAATCTTGAAGGGAAAGAGCAAGAGAAAAAAAATGGAGAAAACTAAATCTAGACAATGCAAAATTTTAATCTAAACCAAAATCTCAAATTCAAACACTTCCAAGGGACAATCAAAAGTGCCCCTCACTTTATGGAATATAGAAAGGGAATACAAAAAATATGTATATTAATTAGCCCAAAAACCAATCCAACGGCTACCAAAATTAATATTAGTATATGACATTGTAGTCATACACTTGGACCTCACACTAGTTTACATTAATAAATAAGCATTATATTATATCTAGACTAAGAAGCAACTCACTTACATAAATGATGTCACACTTGAATTATCCATGGCATGATCCATGGCGGGAGCTGACGAAGAAGATACTCAGTCTGATCCACAATTCATCCGACATTCAAGCTGCAAGCATGAATTTTACAGTGAAGCACTGTGCTCTTTAGGCGCTCTCAAAACCCCCAGATTCAGATGAGGCAGGTCTCCTTCAGAAGGGAGGTTTGGTTTTGAGAAGGAGCGTTGTATTCCTCGAGTTGGAGCTTGGCCTGGAGAAACTCAGCTACGTCCTCCAGCTCCTCCGGCTCCTTGATCCAGTGCCCGTCCAGCTTGGCGCCCACATACTGCCTCCACGTCACGTCCACGTTCATGTTGGTGCTGAGTACGTGACGAGCCCTCAACGCGAGCTCGAGAGGCACCTTGCGATCGTGAGTGCCGTGGCCCAAAAAGACGGGAGTAGCCTCAGCCCCCTGTAAATCTCCCTCTTTCAACGTCCTCTGATCGAGCTTGTGGGCGAGGGGTAACCATCCGCTCATGCCCACATAGGCTCCCAGCCTGTGCTCGCAGCGCAGCAAGGCGTACAGGGACGTTGCCTGTCCCTGGCTGAGGCCGCCAAGCACAAGCTTGTCTGCCCTGCCACCCAGCCGCTGCACCTCATCCTCAATGAGCCGCAGAACGTACTCTACGGAGCTGCTTAGTCCTGGGATCTCCTGCGCCGACTCGCTGCTGTCCCGCGGCGAGGCGTCCAGCCACTGCTTGCGCTCCATCTCCATGGAACTCGACCACAGCAGCCCTGAGCTGGGGAAGACCCAGCGGAAGCTCGGGAACTTGGCAAAGAGAGAGGGGCGCATCCGACGGATCGCCCTCCAAAACTGTGGCCCGTCGCTACCGCCGCCATGGAGGAAGATGACGGTATGGGTGTGCTCCGCAGCTGGCTCCTGGATTTGTGGCACCGGCCGCCCGCTCATGGTGGAAATCATTAGGGCTCTGCCCATTTTAGTTTAAGTAGTTTTAGGTAAATAACAAGTTTTACCATTAAAAATAAGCATTTTGGGCCCAAAACCTAAAAAAACACACATATATAACATAGAATGTTACATGGTCATGATATTGGATTCATGATCATGATAGAGCTATAAAATTTTAAAGTTTGATAGAATATACATTTTTGGGTATGAGGGATAGATCCACTAACTACCATGTGGAGTAGGAGCAGAGTAGACAAGTAAGACAACGCAAACTGATCGAATTCTGCAAGATCACCGACATGAAATCTTAAATGGTATATCACACTTGGGATACACATATCAGTCCCACACCTGGGCAAGTTGGGCTCCTGCATCAGGAGATGGTTGCAGCACCCAGACTATGTAATAGGAGACTTTCTCACTCTCCAAATGCTCTCAACAATATCCTTCCTGGAATTCGTCGATCACAGACCAATCGCAATCACACTCCGGCTTGTGCCCCACATGAAAAGTAAAACAGCATAGCAACGAACTTGCCCCTTGATCGACCAACTAGATCACCTACAGCAGCGAGTTGAGGAACTTTGGAACACACACACACACACGAGAAATCCTTGATTTCATTCATTGTGAAATATCAATTAAACTTCAGTGATTCAATCGTATGAAATTGTGTATATGTGGCAAGTGATGTGGCACATCACACATAAGCCAAGATTACCACGTCACTTGCCTCATATGTCTGCTTTCAGATGGGTTTCGGCGTTCAGGAGAAGCAGAGGTCGCGTTTCCATCATGGACCAACCGAACAACAATCACTGGCCCCGATGAGATTCCCCTCGCGACGGAGCTCTTCAAGACGCTGAGGTATCTCGCTCTCCATACAAGGCTCCTCACTGATCACGTCAAGACCCGGGATCTCAAGAAGCTCTTCAGGCTACTGATATTATGGCTCAACGATTCCAGCGAGAGATCACGCTTGTGCTCACGGAGCTAGAATCGTCAGAACTGGTAAGCTTTTCTTCTTTTCTTGAGAAAATTATACGAAAGAGAGAAAGAACTCACTTTTCTTCACACGAATTGATTGGAGCCTTTGAAGGTGTAGTCTTTAGCCAGGAAATGGTGATGCGCCAAGAATCCGTGGTGCCATACATGCTACTGTTTCCAAAGTTCTTTGTTTCAACATGTTTTGCTTTTTCTTAATGTTCCCTCTTGGCTTTTTTATTCTAGGCTCCCAGAGTGATTGATAGTGAGGATGAAAGAGACATTCATCTCAAAGCTGCTAGATTGTTTGGCTGGCGGGGCTTAATCGTTTCTTACTCAAGGTTTTGAAGCACCTCACCTTGAAGAGATCCATTGATGCGAGTCGAATGGAATTCTTCTCCTACGCTGAAGCATTTGCTTCTATAGTTCAAATGGAGTTTGTCCCTCTCGTTGGTACTGCTGACCGAGTATCTGAACTCTTTATGCTTTCTCGGTTTCCAGGAGCTGTTCAATCCATCGTTCAACTTCTTCGCAAGCAAGAGACTCGATGTGCAGCGGTAACAATGTTGGGGAAGACTATGGAGCTTTGCCTATAACAGGTAGAATTAACATATGATAAATCCAGGTTCTTACATTTCTTTTCTTTCATTCTAGCTGAATGAGAAGTGTGATCTTACAGAAATCTTATCAAAGGAGAGCTCTCAAAGCAATTACCAACCAGGTTTTGGTTGTTTTCTCTTCTTCTTTCTTGTTCATTTTGTATTTTTAAACAGGTGACTCCTGTAGCAAGAGGAGATGAGAACTCTCCTAACGGGAATCCAGCATGTCAAGAAACTCTAGGAAGCTAGGTAAAAACTTGAGTGTCTCAATGTTAAATGTTTCCAGTTTTTTTAGAATCAGCCTTGGCAAGACATCCACGGCATTTCTTCCAGGAGGTAAGGTGGATCCCTTTTTTATGTTATAATCTTTCTTTTACAGAGCCAGCAAGCTAACTAGAGTGAGTGGCAGTGAGCCAGCAGCAGCAAGCAGAAACAAGTAGCAGTGAGCAGCAGCCAGGAACTTGGTGAGCTACAGCAGGCTGGGCAAAGGAGAAGCTGGAGAAGATTAGTGCACTCTAGAAGGTGCCAGCCAGGTACAAGACGATGATGGGTGTGGCAGAGGAGGAGCCTGCTTTGGCTTGGCAGCTAGTAGCAGCAAGTCAGCCAGCAGCAGTGAGCAGCACAAGCAGCAACAGCAGCAGAAGCGAGCAGCACAAACAGCAGAAGCGAGTAGTGCAAGCAGCAAGCAACAAGCAAAGTGTAAGTGGCAAGAGCTAGATTGTAAGCTAGATTATAATTGAGCAATGGTCTAGATATTAATTCAGTTAACAATCCAGATTTCTTGGTGATGTGGCATTCCATAGATAGTGATGTTGAAAGCTTATGTGGCATCTAATGTGGCAACCTGTGGAAATCAAATGTGACAATATCAATGAAAAACTTGTGAATTGCTCATTGTGAAACAATTGTAGTCTCACATTCATGATTCACATGGTTATAAATCTAGAATTCATTATAAATGAATCTGTTGTGAATTTTTAAAACTCAGAAATGTTTGATTTGAAATTCATTAATCATGTATGTTAGTTCTTTTTGTAGTATGACATCCTGGAAGAGAATCACACAAGCCTACAGGTGGAAATACTCAAACACATGACATGACCATTCCAGAAGTGACCAATAAGACAAAAGATAAAGATGCCAATCAAAGGATGGTGGGATGTTAGGGGCTCCACAAAGCATACAAAAGAGCATGAAAAAACAGCACATCTTATGCAAATGTACAGTGTAAACACTTTCAAAAGGTGGTGAGAGTAGTCAGGAGAATCACACAAGCCTACATGTGGAAATACTCAAACACATGACATGACCATTCCAGAAGTGACCAATAAGACAAAAGATAAAGATGCCAATCAAAGGATGGTGGGATGTTAGGGGCTCCACAAAGCATACAAAAGAGCATGAAAAAACAGCACATCTTATGCAAATGTACAGTGTAAACACTTTCAAAAGGTGGTGAGAGTAGTCAGGAGACATTATAATAAGAAGGCCAATGCAAAGCTGGCATAACAAATGAAGTCCCACCCGGTTTAGAGTATAAGATTTTCCAAAATAAGAAGGCTCCAAGGGCATGGACTTCTGGATTGCACACATTCAGCAGCTTTACCAACTTGACAATTTAATGAAGCCTACTATGTCTCCAACCTTGGCCGAAATAACATAGATAGATAGATAACTGTTTATGAAGGTCATGGAAACCCCATAGGGCATCAGACATGTTACAAATATTCTAGTGTAAGTATTTATTTTAAGTTCTGGCAAAAGAATTTGGAGGAGTTGTGTTTGATAGCATGTGATTTCCCATATATAAATCAAACCACCTTATATTAAACTCCATCCTATTTCAGTCTCTCCACCTACGTGGCAATGTTTATATGGCATTTATATCTTTCCACTTCTGTTTGCATTTGTATGACTAGTCTTTCTCATTTTTTGACTGGCACTTCTTTGACCAGCATACTCCCATTTGACTACATTTTTTTTTGTTCATCTTCCTGGTGGAGACAGTGCAATGTTTAATCCATCAGAAAGATAGTTGTAGATGTAGATGTGAGATTCCCACAAAACCCAAAACAGGCTTTTGATCATTTCAAACTGATAGCTCATGAAGAGGATTGAAAGATTGCTACACAATTTCTATAGGGTGCTGGTGAGAATTCTCTTTGAGGCCCACCAACAGCATATTTTAAAGCAATTCAGCAAAGTAGTCTATATCTTTATAGATGGGCTTTCTTGGCAGCAAAACTCACAGCTACATGCACCTATAGAATCCCAGCTCCTGACTTGCTTGAGCCCTATTTTGCAGCCACACAAACCTTGGAGAAATCCACTCCTTTAGTCTCTATAAGGAGATAGTGGTTATCAATTGCAATTGAGGGTGTCCTCCAAGCAGCACATTGTTATGGGCTTCCCATACTAAGATTAAGTAGCTTCTTAAACTTTGCCAAAGATTTTAAGTATTTTAGAGAGAGACTTAAATAGGATGGAGTTTAACAGTAATCAAACCATATTTGTTGCCCAAATGGAGGAAGCAATCAAAATGCTCCCTTGCAATAGACATTTACAACTTCATAATAGAGGTTTTATAGATATTGAATGTATGGTGGCTGGTTAAAAAATTCACTTAAGTAGATTATAAGATATGATTTCCTAGAGGAATGATGCTTTATTTTGTTAAAGTGGAACTTATTCAGTAAAGTGGGACATTAATTAGCATGTGTCCACATGCCATTTCCTAGTACTTAATTAATATTTATTAATATTTCTATCAGTTTTTTAATTTATTTTTTATATTTCACAATATTATAACACAAAATCATATGAAAAGTTTTTAATTTATAAATTATAAAGCTAAAACTTCAATTTTTTATTGTTGTTATAAAAATGGCATGTGGCCACACAACCATAAGTGGGATAATGAAAAGTTCCACTTTAACAAAATAAAGCATAATGGAACGTGAACAGATTTGTTTCCAGACTAGAATGGGTAGAACTTTACGCAATTCCACTTTGTTTAGTCAACTAACATCTTCTTGATTAACTTTGGCAAAGATGGTGGTACAATACATTCACATACATTTCTTTTGTCTGAATTTTACTTGTTCACACCTTATCATATTAAAAATCACTATAGATGTTAAAATAAAGACAAAGAGCTTTAGCTTTGCCTAGACTATGTTACACCTCTATAATTAACCAAAAAGAACGTCTTGATAGATGATTTATGGGGTTTAAATATAAAAGGAAAACGCCCATAAATAAAAGTGAACCCTTTTTCAATTGGTTAAGGATCATATGATACTTAGGGTTAAGTGTTCTTGAGTTTAAATAGTATTAAGTTCTCCCAAGAAGTTCAAATTCAAAAAATCATATTTGGTATTAAGGGAGTCAAGTTTGACTCTATTGGTTGGATAAGGG